GAGCTGGACAGGTACTCCCAGTTGGCAGAGGAAGCCCAGACACTGGAAGAATAGAAGAGTATTCAGTGCCTAGGACTGAAAGGAGGGCCGAGGAGGTCAAGAAAAATTTCCAACTTGATCATTAATGGCCATTGAGTCAGGACCCAAACCTGCACTGGTCACATACACGAAACTGGCAGAGAGTGAGGTTGGCCAAGCAACTTGGAAGACATTACATGGGAAGGGACTGAAGGAGGTTGCAGGGCAAGCTGCTATCAAGGGGCTCCAGAGGAAAGCAAGGGAAGACAATGGCAGGAGGGTCCCCTGTGTGCAAGAGGCAGTCACTCTGTGAACAGTCACAGAGGTCTGGACATCAAGGGTGGGGTCCCATACCTCAGCCTCTCTCCTTCATCTCACAACCCACTCTGTCCACACAGGTCAATCCAAGGCCTCCCCCACAGTCACTCTGTTCCAACCCTCCACTGAGGAACTGGCAACCAACAAGGCAACACTGGTGTGTATGATCAACGGCTTCTACCCAGAAGACATTCTCGTGACCTGGAATAGAGATGGCACCCCCATCACTCAGGGTGTGCAGACCAGTAAGCCCTTCAAACAGAGCAATAAGTACGGGGCCAGCAGCTACCTCAGCATGACTGCCAGTGATTGGCATCGTCACAACCTATTCACCTGCCGGGTCGTACATGAGGGAATCACCGTAGAGAAGACCGTGTCCTCTGCATCAAGTTCTTAGGACCCTGCCCCCACAACACCCACAGTACCTTGAGCACATGACTACAGGGAAGTGGTCCTCGCTCCAATCCTTAATGGTCCCAGCCCTTCTCCCTCAATCTATAAACTTTCAATAAATATTCTCATTGCCAGTTTCAAATCCTGTTCTAATGCCATCATTCCTTATCCCAGATGTTGTTTGCGACCTGCTCCAGGTTCTCAGGGTGGGGTAGGGGGAATCTGATACCCAGTGGGAAAGTGGCCCAGCTGGAAAGACTCACAGTCCTCTGGAGCATCGTCAGGGCTAGGCACTTCTCACCCAGACAGCCCTTTTCCCAATCTCTACTGGACCTCTAAGCCTCTACCATGCTGAGAACCCCGGTGCTCTCATATCCCTTGTTTTTTTTTTTTTTTTTGTGTGTGTGTGTTTGTTTGTTTGTTTTTTAATGGCTATAAGATGCATGCACTCACTGGACAGAGACAGAGAGAGAGAGAAGGTGAGAAAGCACACTCCTGGGGGGGGGTGTTTACACTGCAATATTTCTCTACCATCTTCCTTGGGATCTTCAGTACACACACACACACACATAAGCCTAGCATGGTTTTCAAGCTGTTGGATCCAGAATCAAATCATTCACTTAGCCATGCAGGATCCAAATGCCTTAACCACTACACCACCCAAACACCTCAATTCTTCTTCTCCCAAAACACCTACTCATGGATCATCCCACACTTCAAGTGAGTCCTGGGTGTCTGGACACATTTCTGGGATGAAGGGTCACTGTTCAGTGGCTACGGACAGTTCCGAGTAAGAACCCATGTTCCAGTTGTCCCATGTAACAAACTCTCAAGGGATCCAGGTTGTAGGGAATGACACTCGGAAAGGAAAGGGCCGATTGAGAGAGATTGGAGAGACAGCCATCCAGAGGAATCATGGAGGAGTCAGGAGGATCCCAGGTACCCATGTCTAGGCTAGTGGGAGACACAAGAAAGGAGACACTTGAGTAAACACCATGGCCTGAGAGGTAACCGAGGCTAGAGATTCTGGTCACATATGAAGAACAAGGTCAGGGGATCATTTCTCCAGTGTAAAAACCATGATTTGTTATTGACAGGGAGCCATGGTAATGTTCAGAAAGTAAAACCAAAACGTAATTTTTTCAGGCTTTTCCAAAGCATGTTTGCTAAATCCAGTAAATGACAAGTCCCACTTAATGGAACAAATCCAGTTTACTATAGACAGCAGTAGGTCCCAAATGTCCCCCACCTTTGGGAGCTATGTACTCCTTGGAGAGACCGCCATGGTCCATGAGGTAGAGGTACACAGGGCTGGTTTCTCCTTAAGGAGCTGGACGTGGGGCAGGGGAGAGTCTAGGTTACATGAGCAAGGGGCAGGGATCACAACCAGGAAGGGTCTCAACATTTAAAGTTAGGTTCAGGGATAGAATTAGGAAAACGCTATGAACAGAGCTAGAGATGGTCGACCTGGGTGAGGCAGAGGCCAGGGGTAAACGTGAGTAAATGAGCCAGCACACCAACTAAGGTACCAAATGGGACTCATGACGTCCAAGGAGAGTGTATCGGAGTTGGACTCGGGTCTGGAATCAGGGCAGTCACACAAGTTCAAGGCAGAGTGTAACAGAGAATGCCTACTTAAGATTCCAAAGGCTGTTTCATTTTCACTGCCTACCATCATCAACAGTGCCCTTTCTCCTACATTCTGGTCAGTAATGTGATAAGGTTCATCCTCTTCTTATTTTATCTGTGTCATGAGCGAACTATAAAATATGGTTGTAATTTTGTCATTTTTGATCATGAAGAAAGGGATTATCCTTTTGTATCTTTATTGACTTATTTTATTTCTTCTGTGAATTACCTCAGGGGTCCATATCCCTGGGCCCAAGGGGAAACCTTGCTGTACTGCAGGAGGGGAGCAGCGAGTAAGGAGTGAAGTTTCATCTGTGTGTGTGTGTGTGTGTGTTAAGGTTTTGGTGCATATGCTTATTGGAAAGAAATAGAGAGAGACAGTGAGAGGGAAAGAAATGCCCCACCCCCCACCCCAATGGGGATGGCCACGCCACAATCTCTTGTCCTCCATTTTCTTCCTGAGATTACGGGCATGCACACACACGTGTCCAGCATGATTTTCAAGTCTCGGGATCCAGGACTTGAACTGCCTTCATCCATGTGGGGGTCCAGCACCATAAACACTACAACCCCTGCTGCCCTCAATCTCGTGTGTTTTTGCATCCCCTCTCCATCTCCTAACATACCGTCTAAGATTCACTTTCCATCAGATCAGTGGTGGCATTAGATTCTTGGACTAGCGTGACCTTTCTTGTGAACTGCATGACAAGGGATATAGGTTGTGGACTCTTGTAAACCAATCCCCACCCTATCCCCATTGGTGGAAAAATTGTCTTTCCTGTCACGGGTCCCTGGTATCAAAATGGTTGAAGATTGCTGACTTAACTGATTGTTATAGCATCTGCTTTTTCATTCAGTCCGTTGCCAGTTCTTATATATCTGCATCAACTCCTAATTTATCTGGTATATTAACTTCCTATTTGGTATATGTGTTATAAATATTTGTCCCTGGTCTCTTTTATACCCTCTGTTTATGGCATCTTTCACCATAGAACTACTGTCAATTTTTATGTATTGGATAGGTTCAACATTTTCTTATGGTTTCTGTGACATATGCCATGTGGAGAGAGGTCATCTCTATTTCATTACATGAAGCCATTTTTCTATTTTTTTTTCTGGTATGTTCATTGCTTGTTGTGTTTGGATGGATGTTTTTATTTCCACTTCATCTGGACTTTCTTTTTGTGAATGAATAGAACCTGATTTGTTTTCCATATGGAAAGTCAATCATCACATCTTTTTGGAACACAATGCAACTTTTATAAAATCATTGATTGTGCACATTCTCTTTAAGGTTCTCTTGATCTGGTTCTGCATTACTTCATGTTCTTTTTTTAAATTTACATTTTTAATACATTCAATCACATTATTTAACTTACAAGATGATCATTCTCCTCGGTCGAGTTGATCAAAATATAACAACACTACCTCCCTGTCTCAACAATGCTGTCTTCGTATCCCTCCTCCAAATGTTCTTCCCCAGGCCCCACTCCTCCACACACACCACATCTGGCATTCACATCCACCTCTTGTGTTTGTACATCCTTTAGCCCATCAGTTTCAGTTATAGAGTGCGGACATTTGGTATATATTAAGTGGAGACATACAGTGTCTCGCCTTCATAGCTTGTCTTGCTTCACTCAGCAGTAAATCTTCCATATTCTTCCATTTTCTGTCATAAGCCAGGGCTGACTTAACTGATTGTTATAGCATCTGCTTTTTCATTCAGTCCGTTGCCAGTTCTTATATATCTGCATCAACTCCTAATTTATCTGGTATATTAACTTCCTATTTGGTATATGTGTTATAAATATTTGTCCCTGGTCTCTTTTATACCCTCTGTTTATGGCATCTTTCACCATAGAACTACTGTCAATTTTTATGTATTGGATAGGTTCAACATTTTCTTATGGTTTCTGTGACATATGCCATGTGGAGAGAGGTCATCTCTATTTCATTACATGAAGCCATTTTTCTATTTTTTTTTCTGGTATGTTCATTGCTTGTTGTGTTTGGATGGATGTTTTTATTTCCACTTCATCTGGACTTTCTTTTTGTGAATGAATAGAACCTGATTTGTTTTCCATATGGAAAGTCAATCATCACATCTTTTTGGAACACAATGCAACTTTTATAAAATCATTGATTGTGCACATTCTCTTTAAGGTTCTCTTGATCTGGTTCTGCATTACTTCATGTTCTTTTTTTAAATTTACATTTTTAATACATTCAATCACATTATTTAACTTACAAGATGATCATTCTCCTCGGTCGAGTTGATCAAAATATAACAACACTACCTCCCTGTCTCAACAATGCTGTCTTCGTATCCCTCCTCCAAATGTTCTTCCCCAGGCCCCACTCCTCCACACACACCACATCTGGCATTCACATCCACCTCTTGTGTTTGTACATCCTTTAGCCCATCAGTTTCAGTTATAGAGTGCGGACATTTGGTATATATTAAGTGGAGACATACAGTGTCTCGCCTTCATAGCTTGTCTTGCTTCACTCAGCAGTAAATCTTCCATATTCTTCCATTTTCTGTCATAAGCCAGGGTTTTGTTGTTCTTAATGGCTGAACAGTACTTCATGTTCTTTTAAGTATTATAGCTTTAGAGCATGTTTTGATTTCAATGGAGGGAAAAAAGAGGTCATTATTGCTGTTTTTCACTATATTCGTGTCAATTTTCATATGTGACTTTAGAATCATTTACCAAATTTCCAAAAACATTCTCTGGTGTTGTGTTTATACTGTCATGGAACACGATCAATTTGAGGAGAACTGATACACTTACAATGCTCAACATTATCATCCAGGAACATGGTATGTCTCCGTCCACTCACATTTGTATTATGTCTACAAGGCAACTAGTTTTATGTTTGAAATAGCCATGCAAAACTTGGATATTTCATATTGTTTATTCCTAGTGTTTTGAAATATAATTTTATTCAGTTTATAAATTATTCTCGATTTCGTATCCCACGTGGCTTTTGCCTGAAGAGAAGTGTAGAGGATTGACTTCTCTTGTCGATCTGGCATTCTGCCACTTTTCACGCTTGTGTTCGTTCAAATTGCATTTCAGCTGACCGTCTTGTGTTTCAGTTTTTAGTAGACAATGTCATCAGTTGCAAAGAACCATTGTCTTTCTTTCTTTCCTAACATTTATGCATATTTTCCTTCCAATCATCTTTTCATTCTCTAGAATATATAGAAGATATTTAATAACAACAAGAGTAGGCAGACTTGCTTTGTTTCTGATTCTAGTGTTTTGCATTTGAGTATGAAGTGTGTTTAATAGCTGTTTTTAATAGGTGTTGTTCCTTCAATTGAAGAAGTTTCCTTGATAACTTCAGAGAAGGCTGAATTAGATTAATAGATGGATGGATGGATGGATGGACAAATTCGTTTTCCCATGGTGCACACATGTGTGGGTGGATGACTAGAAGATGGATAAGTGGAGCAAATGAGTGGACAGGAAGACAAATTGTTAGATAGAAGGAGTGTCAAAAGAATTGATGGAAAAGAAAAGGATAGATGGATAGATGGATGCACAAATTAATGCATTCATGGTTATATAGATAAAAAGGATGATCTGAGAAATTGGTAAAGGATTTCCATTGACCTTTTGTAAATCGGAGAGGAGTAAAATTTATATTACCATTATGTTGAATTTTTCTATATGTGCAAAACTTAAATAAAGCCATAACCAAGTGGTCAGGCAGCTTTCTGGACTAAACACAATGGCTTATATTTCTATATAAATAAATAATCATGAGAGATTTAAATAAGATGAAGAAGCCTGGCATTCTTCTCAGCATAAACTCTCAGATTGTAACCTGGGTGTATTTTCTTTTCCTTTTGAGTACGTGATTGCTGACTTGTACAGTGGTGGGATGTCTACAGAGCAGAGGGGATTCAAGGAGGAAAATAATTTCCTAAGGCGAGGAATGACCTCATACTTCTGGGCTTGGAGAGAAATCACTGAAATGAGAATATTGTAGGAGAGAAAGTTTATAGGGAATGACTTTAGTTGAGATTGAGAGTCCTGTAGGTCATTGGAGCAGAGACAGGCTCAGAAGGCAGAATATATGTGAACCTAGAGTCAAATTGAGAAATCAGTTTCGGAAATATGGACCTGATGCCTCTAAACACTGGTGAAAGTACACAGTGACAGTGAGAGCCTGAAAGAATAGAGAGAAGACAGGGAAGAGTGTACAGGGCGGTGATTTGGAGGTCGGAAGCCATGCACAGTCCTGAGGAATGAAAAGTGAGGGAGAAGGGTGGTCTCAGACACCAAGGAGAAGAGAAAGAGGCACCCCTTGCAGATATATCAGAGCACTGTGGTGGAACTTTGGCCTTATCCACAATGAAGGCATTATGGCCTGGATCTGAGAGGTTTCGGGAGAAATGAGGATAGGAGCAAGGGGAGCCCCACCATGCCCCAGCAGTCAAAGCAGTGCCTGTCACAAAGCAGTGCTTGGTAGCCATCATCATGGGTGGATAGGTGGATGATGGATGGATGGATAGGTGGATAGGTGAATGATGGATGGATAGATGGACATAGGGATTCATGGAGACAAGGGTGGGAAACAAAGGACAAAGAAATGAATAGAAGATGGATTGACAGGTGGATACAGGGGTAGGTGGGTGGATAAATGGAAAGCAAGCTCTGAGGTTTCCCAAAAGGCTTCATGAGCATGTTGGGCCTCAGCTGCATCCCAAGAAGCAGAAACGAAATCAGAAGAGGCTTCATGTGGGAGCTTCCAGAGTCAGGATATCTCAGCATCTGTGGATCCAGGAAGGAGATGCCCTAGCTGGACTGTGTAAACTTGTGAGAGGAAGGACTGTGAGGTGACTGACAGGATTAAGGAGAGATCGGGCAAGTCCAACCTAGTTCCGGACTAACTCGGCACACTGCCCTGCTGCCTGAGTGGACGGAGTTTCAGGAGTTTGCTGATCACCTAATGTATGCAGTGTTGCCCTCAGCCCTGACAGCATCAGAGTGGGGACGACTAGGATGACTCCTCTGTACAGGCGACACCAGTGTCATGTAGAGGGACAGGCACAGCCTGTGGGCCCAGTCTGATTTGCCTCCAGGCTCAACGGGTCTGGCCACCCACCTGCCCTGTGCCCAGGATGTTGCTCCACCCACTGCAGCCCTGTGACAGTCACACACCACAGGTTTCCTCTAGGGCCCAGGCCCCAGGAGACAGACCCCAGCTACTGGCCCCACAGGTTTTGGTCCAAGTCTTAGTCACTGTGGTTTGTATTCGGCGGAGGGACCCACCTCACTGTCATAGGTAAGTGGCTCTCATGACCTCTGTTCTTTCCACCTCTTTCTTATCCCCCTTTTGGGGCTGCTTCCCTCAGCCCTCTAGCTTAGAGAGTGGAACCTTTTCTTTCTCTATAGTATCTGTGGGAGGTGGGATGCTCTCTGAGATAACAGTAAGAAGGGCCCTACTAGGATAGTCACTATGACATTCCAATAGTCAGATGTGTCCTGGGCCTTGGGGCCTGTTCTCAGGGTCACAAGGGCAAGGTCACTTTTTTCTTCTTTGAGGGCAGATGCTCAAGTGGGGGTAAGTGGCAAGTTCTGTCCTTGGGCACCAAGGCAGCATTACAGAGAATCGCCTGCCCTGCGGCTGGACATAGAACAGAATGGCCATTTTGACTAGAAGCCCACACTGGATGTCCTGGGTCATGGCAGGACTGTTAAACAGGCTTCAGGGTACACAGTGTTGGCCTAGGGAGATGTTGGAGAAGTCTCTGGATCTAGGCTAAAGGTCTCTGGGTTTAACTGGACCAGGAAGACATGAAGACACAGAAAGACTGTCAGATTGGGTGAGGAGACCAGCGTTCAGCCCTCACTGGATAGGCATTAAAGAGGAAGAGTCTCTGAGACAGAGACTCATGTATACCCAGAGCCCCTTACCCTTCAGGCTGAGTTCTCTTCTCGGTCTCAGCATGGGGCAGTATTCCTGATTTCTCAAAAGTCACATTACAGGGAACCAGCTCACAGCGTAATGGCTATGTCGCTGGACTCCAACATAGTCGACCACGATTCGCGTCCCAGACCTGGAGGCTTAAAACTCATGCCAGGCACGTGTGCGTGCATGCCCAAGATCCCGAGAGGAGAATGGAGGAGAAGGGATTGCGGTGTGACCATCCCCCCTAGGGGGTGATTTCTCGCTTTCTTTCTCTATGTCTCTCTCTGTCTGTCTGGTGAGCGCACGTGCCCTATAGCGAAAACCTCTCCCCCCCCAAAAAATAAGTCACATTACACTCAAAAAATAAATAGGAGATCTGAGAGCCACATGGCTGCTAAGCAAAATCAGAACTGGTCAGAAGCTTTTGAGGAGGGCCTGGGGGCTCCTGTGCCTCTGTAATCTTAAGGGAGGCAGCCTCTAAATTCAGCCAAGGTGTAAGGTCCAGTGACCAGGTCTTGGTGCCTTAGCATGATGGTGGAACTTAGAAGAACCCCAGGCATATCAAAGTGGAGCCTATTCAGTTCCCAGAGAGTGGGTGGCTGAAAGTGGACTGCTCCAGGCTCCACGACGTGCTGGGCATAGGCCGAGACCTCCACTCTGTGCCACGATGACCTTCCTGATGAGCTGGACAGGTATGCCCAGTTGCCAGAAGAGGCCCAGGCAGTGGGAAATAGAAGACTGTTCAGTGCCTGGGGCTGGAAAGAGGGCTTAGGAGGTCATGAAAATTTTTCAACTTGATCATCAAAGGCCATTGAGTCAAGACTCAAACCTGCACTGGTCACACAGAGGAAACTGAGGCAGAGAGTGAGGTTGGCCAAGCAAATTGGGAAGACATTACATGGGAAGGGACTGAAGGAGGTTGCAGGGCAAGCTGCTATCAAGGGGCTCCAGAGGAAAGCAAGGGAAGACAATGGCAGGAGGGTCCCCTGTGTGCAATAGGCAGTCACTCTGTGAACAGTCACAGAGGTCTGGACATCAAGGGTGGGGTCCCATACCTCAGCCTCTCTCCTTCATCTCACAACCCACTCTGTCCACACAGGTCAGCCCAAGGCTTCCCCCACAGTCACTCTGTTCCAACCTTCCACTGAGGAGCTGACAACAAACAAGGCCACACTGGTGTGTATGGTCAATGGCTTCTATCCCAGTGACATTTCCATATCCTGGAATAGAGATGGCAACTCCATCACTCAGGGCGTACAGACCAGCAAGCCCTTCAAACAGAGCGACAACAAGTATGGGGCCAGCAGCTACCTGAGCATGACTGCTAGTGATTGGCGTCATCACAACCTATTCACCTGCCGGGTTGTACATGAGGGGATTACCGTGGAGAAGACCGTGTCCTCGACATCAAGTTCTTAGGACCCTGCCCCCACAACACCCACAGTGCCTTGAGCATATGACCACAAGGAAGTGGTCCCCACTCTAATCCTTAGTGGTTCTAGCCCTTCTCCCTCAATCTATAAACTTTCAATAAATATTCTCATTGCCAGTTTCAAATCCTGTTCTAATGCCATCATTCCTTATCCCAGATGTTGTTTGCGACCTGCTCCAGGTTCTCAGGGTGGGGTAGGGGGAATCTGATACCCAGTGGGAAAGTGGCCCAGCTGGAAAGACTCACAGTCCTCTGGAGCATCGTCAGGGCTAGGCACTTCTCACCCAGACAGCCCTTTTCCCAATCTCTACTGGACCTCTAAGCCTCCACCTTGCATAGTTGAGAACTGGGGGGGTCTCATACCCCTTGATTCTTTTTTAATTGCTATAAGATGCATGCACTCACTGGACAGAGACAGAAAGAGATAAGGTAAGAAAGTGAGAAAGCACACACTCCTGGGGGTGGTTTACACTGCAGTATCTTCTCCTCCATCCTCCTTAGGATTTTGAGTACTCATGCACATGTGCCTAACGTGATTTTCAAGCTAATTTAACTGAGAGCAAATCATGCACTTAGTCATGTGGGATCTAGCCACCATAACCACCACACCATTCATACACCCCAATTTTTCTTCTCTTCCATAAACACCTACTCGTGGACTATCCCACACTTCAAATGAGCCCTGGGTATTTGGACACATCTCTGGGATGTGGCCACAGACAGCTCAAGGTAAGGACCCATGTCCCAGTTGTCCCATCTACTAAACTCTCAAGTAGAATCATGGAGAAATCAGAAGTATCCCAGGTTCCCATCTCTAGGCTACTGGGAGACACAAGAAAGGACACTCTTACTTTTTTTTTTTTTTTGAGAGTTTTTTGCTACAGGGCATGTGCGCTTGCCAGAAGGACAGAGACAGACAGAGAGAGACAGAGAGACAGAAAGCGAGAAATCACCCTCCCCCCCCCCAGCGTGGATGGCCACACTGCAGTCCCTTCTCCTCCATTCTCCTCTTGGAATCCCGGGCACCCACACATACGCGCCTGGCATGAGTTTAAGCCACCGGGTCCGGGAGTCAAACCGGGGTCAGATACATGGGAGTCCAGTGACATAGCCATTACGCTAACTGCTGGTCCCAAGAAAGAAGGACACTCTTGAGCAAAGATCATGGCCTTAGAGGTAATGGAGGCTAGAGATTCTGGTCACATATGAAGAACGTGGTCAGGTGATCATTTCTGAGGTGAGAGGACCATGATTTGTTATTGACAGGGAACCAAGGAAATGTTCAGAAAGTAAAAACAGCAAGTACTTTTCTCAGGCTTTTCCAATGCATGCTTCCTAAGTCCAGTAAATGAAAAGTTCCACTCTAATATAATGAATCCAGTTTACTATAGACAGCAGCAGATTCCAGATGTCCCCCATCTTTGGGAGCTCTGTACTATTTGGAGAGACTGCTGTGGTTCATGAGGTAGAGATACACAGGGCTGGTGTCTCCTTAATGAGCTGAATATGTGGCATGGGAGAGTCTAGGTTACATGATCAAGGGGCAGGGATCACAACCAGGAAGGGTCTCAACATATGAAGTTATATTCAGGGGTAGAATTAGGGAAAGGCTGCAGACACAGCTAGAGTTGGTCAGGCTAGGTGAGGCAGAGGCCATGAGTAAACATGGGTAAATGAGCCACACACCAACTAAGGCATCAAATGGGACCCATGATATCTAAGGAGAGTATATCAGAGTTGGACTCGGGTCTGGAACAGGCCTGTCATACAAGTTCACGGCCGAGTGTCATAGAGAATGCCCAGTTAAGATTTCAAAGGCTGTTTCATTTACACTGGCTGATGTCATTAACAGTGTCCTTCCTCCTACATCCTGGTCAGTATTGTGATAAGGTTCATCTTTTTCTCACTTTATCCATCTCATGAGCAAACTAAATAATATGATTCTAATTTTATCACTTTTGATCACCGTGAAAGGAATTATTCTTTTCTATCTTTACTGACTAATTTTATTTATTCTATTAATTACCTCATGGGCCAATGGGAAACCTTCTTGCACTGCAGCAGCGAGCAGTGACAAAGGAGTGAAGTTTCATCTGTGTGTGTCTGAGTGTGTGTGTGTGTTGTGTGTGTTTGTTTTAAGGTTTTTGCACATGTTCTCATTAGAAAGAAACAGAGAGAAACAGTGACAGGAAAGTGAGAAATGTCCCCCAACCCCAATGGGAATTGAACTCTTATTTCTGTGTCTGTATTTAATTTTCCTGATATAGCACTCCCTTGAGAACTTTTTGGAGATCTGGTCTGGTGTTGGTATATTCTTTCAGGTTTTGTTTATCTGAGAATGTTCTTGTCTTTTCTTCCCATATGAAGGATAATCTTGCCAGGTACAGTATTCTTGGTTGAAATTACTTTTCCCTTAACACTTGGAATATATTTTCCCATTCTTTCCTTGCTCACATTATTTTCAATGAGAGATCTGCTATTAGCCGGATGGGATATCTTTTGTAGGTAATTTGCCGTTGTTTTTGTTTGTTTGTTTGTTTGTTTTTCTGTCAATCTTAGTATCTTGTCTTTATCTGTGGTTTTGGTCAATCTGGCTATAATGTGTCTTGGAGAAGATCTTCTTGTGTTAATTCTATTTGGACTCCTTTGTATTTCTTGGGACTGGATTTTTGAGTGCCTCTCTAAGTTTGGAAAGTTTTTTTGCAGGATTTTATGGAATAGATTATCAATGTCCTTAAGAGTCTCTTCACCTTCTGGGATACCAATTGTAAGGATGTTTGGACGTGTGATGGGATCTAGTATTTCTTGTATATTATTCTCATTTTGGGGGCAATTTTTTCAGTCTTTGTGGTGGATTTTTCTAGGTCACCATTTCTATCTTCTATGCTAATCTATTTTAGCATCTATGAATAATCACTCTCCAATTTCTTTTCTTCTTCTTTTTTTTTTGTAGAGGTTTTTGCTATAGGGCGCGTACGCTCACCAGAAAGACAGAGAGAGACAGAGAGATAGAAAGCGAGAAATCACCCCCCCCGGGGGGGGATGGCCACGCCACAACCCCTTCTCCTCCATCCTCCTCTTGGGATCTTGGGCACACATGCACACGCGCCTGGCATGAGTTTAAGCTGCCGGGTCTGGGACTCAAACCACGGTCGACTACATGGGAATCCAGAGACATAGCCATTACACTAACTGCTGGTCCCTCAAGGGAGATTTTGACTTCCTGTATTATAGACTTCATCTTAACAGGTCCATTTGATTCTTTTTAAAGTGTGCAATTCCTCTTTTAGATCTTGCAAGAATTTTATCACCTCCTGGAATTTGTCAGCTCCTTTCTCCTGCCTCTTCCACAGTTCATTGTCTCTCTACTCTTCCATCTCTGTTAGCTTTGTCATTATGAATATTCTAAATTATTTATCAGACATTTACATGATTTCCATTGAACTGTCTATGGAAGGAGAGGAGTTATTCTTTTCCCTGGGAAGAGAGGTATTTTCTTGCTTTCCCATATTTCTTGTGGCCTTACAGAATTCTAGCTATTTGAAGGATGGTGTATTTCTTCCTAATTCTTGAAGTTTCATCTGAGCATTCAGGAGCGTGCTTAAGGAGGTGATTGGGAATCTCTTTCCCATTCCATATTTATCCCTTTGTGCAGCAGATTCAGTGGATATTGAGGAATATTTTAACCCTAATAGTATTGGAATGTTTGGCTATAGTTCCCTTGGATCCATCTAGAAACACAGAGAATGGAGATTGAAAGGAAGAGTGATGAGATAAAAGAAAAGGAAAAGGAAATGAAGAGGGGGAAAAAAAAAGAAACATAGTAAAAGAAAAAAGCATAAAAAATTAATTTTTTAAAAGAAAAAATATTACTAGTTCTCAAGAGCCATGGAAGAGTCTTCTTCTGAAGGCATACCCCTTGTCTCTCCTGGATTAGTGAGAGCACTCAGTCAAAAAAGCGCTTGCACATCTACATTCATTGCAGCCTTATTCATGATTGCTAAGACATGGAACCAACCCAAATGTCCACAAACAGATGAACTCTGCAGAATGAGGGAGTGAGGGAAAACCTCTGGACACCTGCAGCTTGGTAACCAGTAATCAGATGATAGGATATGATGGGAAGTGGGTTCCAAGAACTTTCCAGGGGCTCTTTAGACACAAAAGAGAGTCAGAGAGCTCATCTCATCTGCTCAAGGGACAAATAGAAAGGCCCAGACAGATGCTGCAGGAATGTTAGCAAGGGCAGAGAAGGGCAGGCTAGGGTCAGGGGCCTATGTGGGAGGCCAAGGCCAAGAGGTGACTCAGCATAGGTGATAATCTGAGGTTCAGTTCAGGGGGTCCCAGAAAAGGAAGGGAGTATGTTTCAACAAGTCACCAACCTACCTCCTCAAAGATGTGGGGCTCTCTGAAGAATTCAGTCTTGACACTGAAGACCCCAGGCCCATCTTCACACAAAGAGATCCAGGGATGACCAGAGGGGTTACTGGCAATTTATCTCCCATCCCTACCCACTCTTAAGGTCAGCCCAAGGCAACCCTCACAGTCACTCTGTTCCCACCCTCCCCTGAGGAACTGGCAACCAACAAGGCCATAACGGTATTTCTGGTGAACAAATTATACCCGAGAGACATGACGGTGACCTGGAAGACAGATGGCACCCCCATCACCCGAGACATACAGACCACCAAGCCCTCCAGACAGAGCAACAACAAATACAGGCCAGTAGCTATCTGAGCCTGACTGCTGACCAGTGCCAATCTCGCAGCACATACACCTGCCGGGTCACATACACCTGCCAGGTCATGCACAAGGGGAGCACCATGGAGAAGAGCATTTCCCCTGCACAATGTTCTTAGGGCCCCACCTCCCACTGTATCCCTGGGACCTGGAGCTAATGATGCCAGGGCAGAGGTCTCCCCTCCAACTCTAGTTCTATAAACTCTCAATAAATATCCTAACATCAATTAGAAACCTTGCTCTATTTTTCTTATCTGATTGAATTTACAACTTTCACAATATTCTTAGTGTAGAGTATGGACTCCCAGGATAGAAGCTCACACTCACCATGGAAAATTCCACCACTAAGTGCCACTGTCACCCAGACACCCCTTTCCCAACTGTT